GACGTGAGCATGAGTAAATAATGACGATTTTTCCATGTTTGGGCGAACTCTTCCTTTAACCCTGTTGAAAAAGATTTCCATCTCCGCCATTAGAGGATTCAGCCTCGTTTATAGACGGCATTGTAGAAGCACAGGGAACACTTGTCCTTGCATTATCTGAAGAATATAACCTCAGCACCTCATCAAATGGAGAATGGCCTTGGCAGACCGGGTCGATCTTCAGTCGAAGCTCTCAAGGACCGCTTCTTTTCTCAGCGTCGGAGGCCTCGGCACATATTAACACACATGGGTCTTCATAAGTGCCAGAGCCGATACAGACACACATCTCACGGCTGTAACCTCTCGTCTTCCTTTATTACGGGATATTCGCTTTAAGAGGGACATGAGTCACGGCCACAATGAAAACAAATTGTCTTTTGAATGGCGAAATGAGGAACGAGGGATGTGGGAGAGTTCACTGTACGGCTACGAGAAACCATTGAGCGGGAAGAGTTGAGAATCAAAATCTATTTTTTATTCAGGATCGCTTCTATTTTTTATGACTTTCGGTTCAAAAAAAACGCCTTTCTTCCTCAAAAATCATTAATAGAAGCTTTAATCGTTACCATTATATCACCCCTATTATGCATTTTTGGATATTTTTCAATCAATCAAGCATTTATATAGTTTATCCCACACATATAGTGCAGTTTCATTAACTCTATTCAGATAAGACTAGTTTAGGAGGATGGCAACATAGTAAATTCATGTTTCATTTGGACATGCTTTAATTTCTGGCATATTATATCATATTAGGGATTTAAAAAAGGTCTTAAATAAAGCTTTATAAGCCAATAACTAAACCATTAACTGTATCTACGAAGAGATGCACAACACTTTCATTTGAAGCAAGCATGTTTTTTTTTTAAATCAGACAAAAGTATAAAGAAACAAGATGACTAAACGACTTTAGTGAGGGAAAGAACTACAATCCCATGAGGCATTGCAGCATAATAGAATTAAACACGAGTATTTTGTGAGCGTAGCGAGATCAACTTGATTACATCATCTGCAGTGCTTTATTGGAGTGGGCGGAGCTAAAGAGTTATGTTAGCTTGTGGTGCTGTTTTCCCCTCTGATTGGTGTAACTTTCTGCACAGCATCATGGGTAATGTAGTTTTTCACCAGGAGTTCCAGAGTTTGAGAGCTGAAATGTGATTCCAGTCTCACTTGTAACTCATTAGCGTAATGCCAGCCTGTGGTGTTGATTGGCTGAACAGCGTCTCTTAGCTCCGCCCTCAAACACTAGTGTATCTGAGACTGGAAGAGTTCGGCTTTTCTGAGATTGATACGGTGAAACCCACGCCATCGTTACTGTTCGTATCACTGAGAGTCAGATATGATAATGAGCCAATCACAGCAGAGCAGCTCTCAGAGAGGCGGAGCTTAGAGAGACTGAAGCGTTTCAGAGCTGATGCTGAAATTACAGTATATGAGGAGAAAATTAAAGTGTTTTTTGACCCGGGATGAATGTGAACATATTATAGGAGACATAAACAAAATCAGGATCCTTTAAAATAGTATAATATGAGCCCCAATAAATCATGCGGCGTTCCTGGAGTAAGCCATCTTTTTTAGTTATTTTTCATCTTTCATCTTCATTAACATATTTTGCTAATTAATATTTTAGAGGTTTTCTGAAAAATTAATGTGTTCTTTCTTAGTTTCATGCGGTCTAAAAAGCTCGTCTGCTGGATCTAACGTGTTGAGGACGTGCGGGTGAAGATTTTTCTCTCCCTCTCTCCAGAGCTTTTGACCGAATGTCATATTTCACTGAAAACACATTATTTTACTTTTGAGGATCTCAATGGCCTTAAAATAGGCTCCAGTTTCTCAAAGCAAATATGACTTTATGTTTGGGGGTGAAATGTGAGCTGTTCTTGACGGTTACGTGAGATTCATCTGAATGTGCCGCGGTCTGTCAGAGATGCTTACAACAGCAAGTTTCGCTAGTTTGAAATGTAAATGACCGTCTTATTGCTGATTTTGTCTTTGCGGTGAGGAGAGCTGAGGCCAAAGTCTGATTAAGAGTTCAGCTCCAGTCCAGAGGCTTTTACTGTTTTATTGAGTCTGACAACATTTATTTGACCTTTGGCCTTACAGATATGAATAATGGACTGTATGTAGATGTGATTTCAAGCTTGTAGGGAGTCAGTTGTTCGATTTTCTGTAAGTTATACTCTAAATAAAGCCAAATGCCAAAATGCATAAATGTACATTTCTGAAGAGAAACTAACAACTTATTTATAGATGCATGAAATGCAATGGTTATACATCTTCAAATAACATTAGTTTTTTTCAATCAATCAAGCATTTATATAGTTTATCCCACACATAGTGCAGTTTCATTAACTTTCAGACTAGTTTAGAAAGGATGGCAACATAAATTCGTGTTTCATTTGGACATGCTTTAATTTCCGGCATAATTTGTTTTTCTGGCATGTTATATCATATTATGCTCCCTTTATTTAGCGGCGCTGGTTCTGGAAGTATATTTTCCGTTCATTTTCCCCTTAGGGATTTAAAAAAGGTCTTGATTAAGGCATTATAAGCCATTAACCAAACCATCTACTGTATCTACGAAGAGATGCACAACACTACCAACTGTTTTTTAAATCATACAAAAATACAAAGGTACAGTGTAATAAACGGTTTTAGTGAGGGAAAGAACTACAATCCCATGAGGCATTGCAGACAGCATAATAGAATTAAACACGAGTATTTTGTGAGCGTAGCGAGATCAACTTGATTACATCATCTGCAGTGCTTTATTGGAGTGGGCGGAGCTAAAGAGCTATGTTAGCATGTGGTGCTGTTTTCCCCACTGATTGGTGTAATTTTCTGCACAGCATCATGGGTAATGTAGTTTTTCGCCAGGAGTTCCACTGATAAACATGGTTATTTTAAAACTAAGCTGAAATAACGCAGACTGACGGCTTCAACAGAGTCAAATACCATCGATTAACAACCACGTAGCTCACAGTAAGCCTGTCTTTAAAGGTTTATGGGTTGTTGTTAAAAATCAATTTCACTATGGATGAAATGTATTGAGTTTTTACTTCTGAAGCTTGTGGTTCCTCTGCTATCTTGGGATTGAGGTGATTTTAACCAAAGCAACTTGCTTTGCGTTCAAGATATATATTGTATACGGTTTATACCCGTGTCATTGTTTTTCTCTATGAACTAACTGCAACTCATAATCTAGAAAATGAATCCCATCCGAATACTGCAACTGAACTCATTTTGTTTTAATAGATGTTTTTGAAAGAAGTCTTTCTGCTCAACAAGGCTGTATTTATTTGATAAAAAATACTGTAAAAATTGTGATATATTATTACAGCTTAAAATAACCGTTTTCTATGTCAATATATAGTAAAGTGTAATTTATTCCGGTGATTTTCAGCATCATTACTCCAGTCTGCAGAGTCACATGATCCTTCAGAAATCACTCTAATATGATGATCTGATGCTCAAGAAACATTTATGATTATTATCAATGTTGATTTTTGTGGAAACCGTGATCTATTTTATTTGTCAGGATTCTTTGATGAATAGAAAGTTCAAAAGAACAGCATTTATTTGAAAAATAATCTTTTGTAACATTTTGTATTAGTTGAATCAACAGTTTGAATCAATTGAATGCGTCCTTGCTAAATAAAAGTATCACTTCTTTCAAGGAAAAAATAACACTTGGCCTTGAAAAAGCCTGACCTCAAAGTTTTGAGCAATATTTTGATTATTCAGTAGTTTTTACAAATTGATGAAACATGAAATTATGCACAATTGATTTGCAGCTCAAGAAACATTTATGATTATTATTATCAATGTTGAAAACTTTGCTTCAGATTTTTATGCAAACCTTGATACAGTTTATTTTTCAGGATTATTTAATGAATATAAAAAGTTCAATAGAACAGCATTAACTTGAAACAGAATCTTTTGTAACATGTCTTTACTGTCATTTTTTATCAATTTAAAGCGGTGGTTGATTATGATTTCACTTTTTTAACTTTAAGTAGTGTGTAATGTTGTCATTTGAGCATAAACAACAGCATAAGTCTCAAAGTTCACAGCAAAATTAAAGAAATTGCTGTTAAACAACTACAACAAACGGTTGGTAGAGCTTCTTCCCGGGTTAGTGACATCACAAACCCTAAAATTTACATAAACCCCGCCCCCGGAACACGATATATAGATTATCAGGACAGAAAATGCTAATTAATGACACACATAAGCTACATAAATTCATCAACTAACTATTCAGAAATGTTGTTTACATGTCACTTCTTGAGTCTCTCCATCTTTGTCTGACTCCGGTTTGAAGCTCCGCCCCCTGTGCTGAGAGCAGCAGCTCATTTGCATTTAAAGGGACAGACACAAAAACTGAAAATTGACTAAAAAGTGACAATTTTAACATGCTATCTACAAATATCTGTGGGGTATTTTGAGCTAAAACTTCACATACACACGCTGGCGACATCAACAACTTTTTTTTATAATAAGTAATGCGTCCATGAAATATATTTTTTTCATATTCTTTATTCTTATAAGTATCATATTGCCTGTGTCACCCAACACTCTGCCATCATATGAAACAACCTGATCTCCACGTTCTTCAGTGCGGCCGTGACTCACTCTCGATTAAAATAAAAGCTTCCTAACCTGCAATCATCAAACAGCCCCTCTAATCCGCCCTCGACACACACTCTCACTCATGCCTCTCCGCCGCGCTGCAAATGACTGTTATCTCATCAAATGGATGAGTCCTTCTGTAATTTGAAGGCAATTGCTGGTCATTTTCAGAGCCATTTTGCGGCTCTCGTTGCCGACTGCCTGCGAGAGTTCATCGAGATTATTACGCTCGATCTGGAGAGAGGAAAGGGAATCCCTCGGTGTGATGGAGGATAATTGAATATTTTATAAAGCTCTGTTATATCTGATTTGTGTGTGTTTCCCTGCAGGTGATGAAACGTGTGAAGCCGGGCCTGAAAGAGTATGAGATGGAGAGGTGAGTGTTGATTGATTATCAGCCCTAATGAAGAAACTCGAACCCCTTTTCCTGTGAACTCGCTGTCAGAATCCATTGAGAACCGAGACAAGTATATGCTTTACCACTAAAGTTTTAGTGGTTTAGTGTTTGATCATGAAATATCAGTGTTTCTGAACTCCTGAAACGCCTCCATTGTAGTCTTGAGTTTCTCATCACAATATTCCTCATTATAATAATAAATGCGCAGAATAAAGGGGCGGGGCCTGGTTGAGTTAGTTAGTAGTGTGTTAAACTGCCGGTTTTGGAAAGGGGCGGGACATTTCCCAAACACACTCGTCCAATCACAACGCACTGATCCAACTAACCAATCAGAGCACAGTGTGCTTTTCAGAAGGAGGGGCTTCATAGAGACAGGAAGTGAACAGAGCGTTACTGACAGACTGGGAAGAGAGGAGCCGCAACAATGGAGAATATGAGGAGAATAATCAACATTCAAGCAGGAAAACCTGTTCTAGGAGAGCCTGAAACACATCAAGAGTTTGGAAAAGGGCAGATAGGTCGTCTTTAATATCCGAAAACATCATTTGTTTTGTGTCGGTAGCATTGTTGTTGTTTTGTAAAAGTCTACGTCCCGCCTCATTTGAGCGTTACCACCAGGTCGATTTGATCGTTTTTGTTTTAGATAGTTCATGGAAATGATGTGGTTCGCAAATAATTAATGTGAGATTGAGTGTGTGTACATTAGCACCTCTTTGATATTTTGTGTTGTCTTTTTGTATAGTGAATTTCTTTTATTGCTGCTGTTGATCTGAAGTTTTTGATAATCTACATATATACTAGATCGTCAATACGGTTCTGATTGTAAAAGTAATAAAATTAAAAGTGCTAATGTTAATACTTTTTCTATGTATCAATGACACGTCAAATTGATCAAAATTGCCAGTAAAGACATTAAAATGCCACAAAAGATTCTATTTCAAATAAATGCTGTTTTTTTTTTAACTTTCTATTCATCAAAGAATCCTGAAGAATAAAAAGCATCACGGTTTCCACAAAAAATATGAAGCAGCACAGCTGTTTTTAACATCGATAATAATCATAAATGTTTCTTGAGCATCAAATCCTCATATTAGAGTGATTTCTGAAGGATCATGTGACACTCAAGACTGAAGTAATGATGCTGAAAATTTAGCATATATTCACATTCAATAATTAATATTGTACAGTAATATTATAATATTTCCGTTTTTACTGTATTTTGTTATAAGTGGTTCAAGTACGAAACCCTATTGTAATTGTAAGGATTTGTAAAACTGATCGTGCAGACCAAACCGTAAGTGCTAGAAACTGGAAACCTGGCCTCGATTTCGGAGAACCGATCAGAGTATGACCCCGATTGGCCCATAGGTGGCGCTACAGCAACCAAAAGTACAAAATCGCTCATAACTCTTAGACCGTTTGACTTAGACTCAATGTTTTTACACCACTGTGATCCTTGGCTCAAGACGGACAAAATGTATATCTCAAATGTTGATTTCGAAAATGATGTCGAATTTTGTCCGAAACTTACTTTAGCGAACTAATCCCTGGTTTTTCGCCCGATCGGAAACAAAACAAGTCCAGGGCAATTCTAGATCAATAATTATCGAAAAAAAAGTGAAACTTTTGCTTTTGGTTGGCTGTAACAGGGTCATTCAGAAAATGGGCGTGGCGAAATACACTCAAAAGCCTATAAATCCTAAAGGAAAACTCAGAACTTCACAAAAATTGATTAGCATACATGCTGACGAAGCATGCAAATTTGCATCTAGATCAGACCATAGGTGGCGCTATAACTGTTAAAAAGTTTTGAAAACCATATATTTCATGGTAAATTGCCTGTATTACATGTCTATACAAAGTAGAAACTTCACAAAACAACTGATTTTGACTGGAACTATAGATTTGTATCATTTGCGTAACAGCGTAGTTGGCATGAAGGCCTTAAATGCTTGAACCCCGTTCATTGCTGCTTGCAGCTATATTTCATAAATGAAACCGTTATAGGATGAGCGTCTTGTAGTTATTAAGCTTCAGTCTTGTGTTATCTGTGTGAGGTGTTGATCTTCCAGCTGTGATAGTGTTCAGTGTCTGATAACACCAGTCCACCCGTTCTCTCCTCTCCAAACAAAAGCTCTGATAAGCTGCAGCTTTTTTTTTACAGGGATTTTCCCTCAAAATCTTCCGGTCGAGAACTGTAAGATAAGAGCGACTCCCTCCACTCGAACGGGTTCAGCAACAGTGGCTTTCTCCACTTTCTTTCTTCGGAGATTGTTGATGCAAGATCTACTTCCTCTAATCAGCTTTCAGCTATGGACACACAAGTGCATGCTGGGATGTGACCTTCTCTCGTGACATCACTCCATTCATCGCTCAGGAGAAGCCAATTTCCTCCTAACTTTCTTTTTTTCGTGGTGAATGTCAGTTTCTTGCAGGATCATGAGGGGTTTTAATGTGAGAGATGCTTTGAGCTTCGTTGTGTGTCACACAGTCGCATTAGGCCATTAGAGGCCAGTGACTCACTGATGACTGGACATAATGAGAGAGATTGGGGCGAACAGGTGTGTGTGTGTGTGTGTGTGGTAACAGGACAGACCCGCAGGCAAGGTCGCGACTCGCAGCGGTCAGATTTACTCACACACTCACTAGGGATGGGAAACATTGATGGACTTTTTTTTCTGCAAGTGGTCTTGGTTTGTTACGTGAAAGTTTGCAGACAAGTGCCTCAAGTGAACCTGTACTGCAATTTTATAAGTTATTTTTGTATATATACATGTATACTGCAATTTAAACTTTTTTTTGTACATCTATACTGCGATTTTAAAACTTTTTTCTATATACATGTATACTGCAATTTTAAGTTTTTTTTTTTGTATATACATCTATACTGCGATTTAAACTCTTTTTTTTGTATATACATGTATACTGCAATTTTAAGTTTTTTTATTTTTTTGTATATACATTGTACATGTATACTGCAATTTAAACGTTTTTTTTGTATATACATGTATACTGCAATTTTAAAACTTTTTTGTATATACATGTATACTGCAATTTTAATTTTTTTTTCATTTTTTGTATATACATGTATACTGCGATTTAAACTCTTTTTTGTATATACATGTATACTGCGATTTAAACTCTTTTTTGTATATACATGTATACTGCGATTTAAACTCTTTTTTGTATATACATGTATACTGCGATTTAAACTCTTTTTTGTATATACATGTATACTGCAATTTTAAAACTTTTTTGTATATACATGTATACTGCAATTTTAAGTTTTTTTCATTTTTTGTATATACATGTATACTGCGATTTAAACTCTTTTTTGTATATACATGTACAGTATACTGCAATTTTAAGTTTTTTTATTTTTTGTATATACATGTATACTGCAATTTAAACGTTTTTTTTTTTTGTATATACATGTATACTGCGATTTTAAAACTTTTTTCTATATACATGTATACTGCGATTTTGATTTTTTTTTTTTTTTTTGATGCTGCCTTTTTTGTGCCTCTTATTTTGTCTTGTATCACAGCATAGATGCTCATTTTTACCACTAATTTTTGCTTCATTACATTTGTAATTGCTTATTAAATGAAGCAGCTGAGGCCCCTCAGTGGGAATGACACGGAAATCTGCCGCAAAATTGCTTTTTAGAAATAGAGATCCTCAGTTTTAGTTGATAACAGAATATTCTTCGCTATGGAGTAAATGTAGAAACGATATACATTAATAATTAGATTAATGCTACATTTTCAGTGGACAATGTGAGAGGTTCTTGCCTTGACAACACTCTTCAAGCACAACTAATGAAATGAAATCCCTATTTTAGGATGTGTTTTTAGTGTTTTGTTTGTTAGTGCCGCTGTGGCCCACCTCACGACATAAACACTGAAAGTGTGGATGTGCATTAGTGGCTGCAGCGTGCCGTGGGGAAAAACATCCAGGATTTGAGACACAGAATCGATTTAAATTGAGTTTAGTTGCAGGATTGAGGAGCCTCTCACCGCCACAATGCTGGAAACTTAATTATTCATTTCTTAGCTCATTTGAATGGTGCATGTGTGTGTGGTGGGAGGGTTTGGTAATGAAAACGCTGATGTCATAGGCGTTTTCCTCTTGTGTAGAGGACGTGTGGAGAACAGGAGTTTACTGAACACATGAGAGGATAACTGGCAATCGATTGCCTTCGTCTTAAAGCGGTCAATCCTATTCGCTTTGACTCCAAGGCTCCTCATTGTGCAGAAGTGTTCAAAGCTCTCGCTCCACACGATCGTGTGTTTCTCCATGCGTCTGCTTCGTTTACAGAACATATTTTAATCTGAAAATGCTGGGTTTGTTTTAACCCAAATTAAATATGGACAAACCCAAATGTTGGGTTAAAAATTCAACTGTACATTTTTTAATGACATTTTTAACCCAACATTTGGGTTTGTCCATATTTGACCCAAATTTTGGTTGAAACGACCCAGCTTTTTTTAGAGTGTACTCGTAGTTTCTATGACTCTTTCACGGTCAGGTTGTTGAGTGTCACTGCACACTATTACAAAATGTGTCATTAGAAAGATTCAGGACTCTAGTTTTAATATTTGACCACTATTTGTTTTTTAATGGTCATGGTGACAATTTTCAATTTCTGTCAGGAGGGCAAAATCAATCTATAGTTATAGATATTTTATTTACATGTTAATTTGCGTCTGCTCCGGTTTGTTTGTTTTTGTGATTACTAACATCCATCAGTGCTTTTTGGTCCAAAAGTTGCACATTTGGGGTAATATTGATATATTCACATGTTCACTTCATATTTCTTTAGACAAAATCGCATTTAATATAAATATATTATATATATGGTCACATTTTAGTTTAGGGTCCAATTCTCGCTATTAATTATTGCCTCAATAAACTCCTAAATACCGCTTAATAATAGTCGGTAGTTGTTAATTTTAGGTGATTAAGGGATGAAGAAT